AATGGGTTATATAAGAAGGATAAATCTCCTCTTTCCTTAAATCCCTCTCCATCTAGCTCAAGCTTTGTTCTCCATTTGTTCTTTATTCATTTGCAAGAGTATAAGTTTTATATATGAGGGCCAATAGGTGATAGGAATTATAAGGAATAAATACTCACTAAATGGGATGATCAAAAAAAAAAAAAAATACTCACTAAATGGAGGTTACAAGGATTAATTTCTTACTAATAAAGGGGTTACAAGAAATCTCATTATTATAATCTAAATGCATAGCACTATAGAGTGTTAATCACAAGAGATGGTGGAAGTTACACCATTACTTGGAATATAAATGCCATGGAAAGTGGAGAGATGAGAGGATTAAAAAAATGTAAAACATTCACAATAAATTGATTTATAACATATTTTTCATGCTAGAGAAACTAAAAAATATATAAAAAAATTGAGGGTAAAAATTGTAAAAAATTATAAAATTAAGGAACTAAAATTGACATTTAACCTAATCGGTTTAAAATAAATTTTAAAGTGGCATTGGGGGTTAAATGGCCAATTCCAAATGTTGAGGGTGTAATTAAGAACTTGAAAAAAAAAAAAAAAAAAAAAATCATGGGCTCAAAAGGTGTGATTGACAAAGCTTTCCAAATCGAAAGCAACCCGAACGCTACTAAACGACAACAGCTTTGCTCGCTGCTCCTGAATTTCGAATACTCCAGTTCTTAAGCTTCAACCGAATCAACCGTTCTTGGCTGAAATCATGGGTTCAGGTTCTTCTCTTTCTCCGTCGCCGATGCCCTGCAATTTTGTTTTCCGGTGCATTATTAACCGTAGTATGTAGATAAATATGGAGTTTCCTTGGTTTTTTTTGTCGTCTTTTGATTCGAATCCGTCGAATTGGAATTTGCAGATGCTGATATGGAGGATTATGGATTCGAGTACTCGGATGAGGAGCCTGAGGAGCAGGATGTTGACATAGAGAATCAGTACTACAACTCCAAAGGTATTTTGATTGATAATCCTTGGTATTCTGTTAGGGAAACAAGGATTTCAATCCTAAATCTAGTTTTGAGCAATTTCTTTTGGTTGATGATCTTTCCTACTGAATTTGTTCTCTGTCTCATTGCACAATTTTGTTTAATTTTTTGCTTTTTGGAAAAAAGGTTTGGTTGAAACAGATCCTGAAGCGGCACTTGCTGGCTTCGCTGAAGTTGTTAACATGGAGCCTGGGAAGGCTGAATGGTAAGTTCTCTGGAGCTCATAAATTTTTCTG